TCCCTTACCCACTAAATTTTTTTTTTAATCGAAAAACCACCCTTAAATAGAAAAATTCAAATTTAGGAAGTAAAAAAATATTAAATTACCGGCTTTTTTTAAAACAGAACCTTACATGTATGTAGTTTTGCTCTACTAACTTAAAAAAATAAAGCCAGCATTGATCCACCACCCTCTGAATTTTTTTAAATCGAAAAAACTACCCCTAATCTGAAGAATCAAATTCAGGATGTAAAACAATAAAATAACTGATTGACAAATTTTATAACCAGATATTTTTACTCTAGCAATGCGGAAACAAAGCCAGAAATGCTCCCGCACCCTCTAAAATTTTTTTAAATCGTAAAAACCACCAAAGAATCAAACTTAGAAGGTAATTTAATATAATTATATTGTGTTATCTCCTAAGTTTGATTCTTCAGGTTAAGGGTAGTTTTTTTGATTAAAAAAAATCACAGAGTGATGGATCAATGCTGGCTTTATTTTTTTGAGTTAGAAGAGCAAAACTACATACATGTAAGATTTTAATTAAAAAAATTCAGGGGGTGCTGGATCAATGCTGGCTTTGTTTTTGAGTTAGTGGAGCAAAGTTTCTTAGATGTAAAATTCGATTTTTTAAAAAAATAAGTTGATGTATTTTTTATCTCCGAAGTGTGAATTTGTCCATTTAAGGGTGGTTTTGTCGATTTAAAAATAAACTGAGGGTGATGGAGCAATTCTGAGCACAGATTCGGTTTCAGCGGGCCAAATTACTATAGGAAATATATGTCTAGTTCAAGAAACAGACAACTTTTTTTTTGTGTGCCTGTGTTATTTAATTTTTTAATTTAAATTTTTAAAGAAATAAAACAAGTTAAAACGTAAGAATCGAAACGAATTAGTGTAGATATATTTAAGAAAAAATAAATTGCTTGAAAATAATTTCAAAAAAAATATTGCAAATTTTTAAAAATATTTTTAGATATAGACATACATTTTATAAATGTGAAAAATTTTAAAGCAGTAAAAATAAGACACGTGTAGAAAACTAAGTTCTTGAAACAAAATACCGATTTGTCGACAACAGTTAAAATAAATATCATTTAACAACTTACAATATTAAAAAAATGTATAAAATTTTGCTTGATAAAGTCAAACATTAAAATATTTAATCATCCATCTAGCTTTCATTGCTTCACTTCTGCATTGAAGACAATTTCAAATAGTTCTTTTACATTACAAGTTGTCATTCACGGTGAGTAAAATTCTAAATAATAATTGGCATATTTTCACTTTTATTTTGTGTTAAAATTTTTTAAATGTTCCTATAATTTTTTAACGCTAATTATTTCATCAATAGATTTATTTTTTTGTTATTATAAGTGCCATTGCATGAAAGGGTATTTTCTTTTGTTAGCTTGTTTGCAAATAAAAATAATAAAAGAATGAAGTACAGGATTTTTTAAACTTTTTTACCTTCTCTTCCAAATTGGTAATTTTGGAGAATTTAAAATTTTATCTACGTAAAATTTTAACGATCTTCTTCATCATTATTCTCGTACTAAATTTAAATATAGAAAATTGTACCAGTTATGCTAACTTCACTATATGACTGCCTTAGCGGATTGGAAACTATATAACTGTTCGACGAACTCGATGCGCGTTCATCTTGGCCAGGAGTGTCTTGCTTACTGCAAGCTTCAAATGAAAGATTGCAGTGTAAGGTTACTGCAAGATTGTACAATAAGATTATCGCAAAATTGCTCAGTAATCATGCACAGTAAGCTTGTAGCAAGGTTGGTGCTTGGTTGACAAATGACCTTGCTTTGAACGTCAAAAAAATTTTTTTTAATGTTTCGAAATTAAACGAAACATTTTTTAAAACCTTTTTTTAGGTTTAAAGCAAAGAGGGTCATCCATAAACCATGTGATACTTTAGGGGGTAGGGGGGATCAGCAAAATATCACGCTACATGTTAATCGTTAATAGAAAAAGCATCACAAAGGGAAGGGGGGGGGTGTTAAAATTTCGAAAAAATGTATCACATGCTTTATGGAAGACCCCAAAGTTATTTGGCAATCTTGCACCAACCTTGCTGCAAGCTTATCGTGCAAGTTTACTGAGCAATCTTGTGATAATCTTATTGTGCAATCTTGCAGTAACCTTACACTGCAATCTTTCGGTACGCTTACCATGAAAGATTGAGTCAGGTGGGACATTTGAAGCTTGCGGCAAGTTTGCTGTGCAAGGTTTGGCAATATTGAGCGGCAAGCTTGCCGTAAGGTTGCTGCAAGCTTATGTGCTATCTGGTAGTACTACTATCTGGGCACATGGGAAAGTGCTGGGACACGATTTCTGCCGTATTTTGGAGAAACACAGTAACCACATACGGTTATCGTATGCAGTTATTATGTTTCTCGAAAACACGACAGATTTGGTGTATGATTTCATGCGGGAATTTATGATTTTGTTTGTACATGAAAAACCTATGTGGATTCCTACATTATTTCCTATAATTTTTCTGGCATATTATTTTAGTTTTTTTATTTAGTATTTCTTTAGTTTTTTAGATTTAGTTAAACTAAATAAAATTGTATTTTGTACAGTAGCCCCAAGGAAACTCTTGTACTTCCGTAGATGGTCACTTATAAACATCGTTCACTTTAAATAATAATAATTTAATAATTGTAACCTAATTTAACAAACGAAAAAGCAAAAATCAGTTATTTAAGAGTGTCGAACGGTCTCTGAAATTCTTTGGCATTTAATTATCGCCTTATAAAACGGCACTTTTTACAAAATCGGTCGAAACACAAAGGATCCTTATCTTATAAATTTCCTAAATCCGAAAGATTGTGCAAATCTATACAAAAACTTAATTGTAAAACGAAAAGTAGAAAAGTAATATAATGATAGCTTTATTACATCATTCAGCCGTTACCCAATAAGCATGGAAACTTGCAGCAAACTTGCAAGAAGCTTGCCGTGCAAGATTGTAGTTAAAACATGTAACAAGTTTCGTAGAAGCAACAAAATGTCCTCTTACGGCAAGCTTGCTGCAAGTTTGCCGAGACAATTTTTATACCAATAAATAAATAAAATAAAAATACAATTATTTCAGATTCATTAAGAAAACGTAGAAAACTGCAAGGAAGATTAGAGATATAGCCGCGGAAATAAGAATATTAAAAAGTGAAAACAACATTAAGCGACTCGGCTCATGATGATCGACGCATCAGTTTTCGTTCATAATTCACTAAATTTCCAATTTTTATCTGTTTGTCACTACATTTCCTCTCTTGGAATTATATTTCACAACAAAGGCCTAATTAAATATAAACAACGACATCAAACTATCCCTGTGCTGAACACTTTCTTTAAATATCTTGACGATTCCAACAATGAAGCTCAGACAAAACTTGAGCTTCTACAAACTATATTGAGGGGAAGTGATCTTTATAGTGGTGGCGAAAATGAAAAACTTGATGCGACATACGTTGATGAAACGTATGAGTACATCATTAAAATAACTCTTTTTTCGCACTACGACAACATAAACATATATTTATCAAGACTATTAAGCAAGACATCTTCTATAACTTATTCCAATTTTATAGAATTTGTAAGAACTGAGTTCTATAAAAAATACGTCAGTAAGGATTACTGTTTAGGAACAATCCAAAGTCCAGAACTTAATTTACTGTCAAGAAAAAAAACTTTTTCTGACTATATTCTACCAATGTTTCCTAAGCCAGACAATACAAATATGAATATTATAGACGAGGATTATATATACGCAATGGCTGGTTTAAAATTGGTTAGATCTGTACTTAAAGAAACACTATACGCTTCTTTTAGCGATTACGTTTCTATTGCACGAGAGTTTGATTTAGAGAATAAATATCACAAAAAAGAAATCATTGAAATAATTTTAGTACTTTTCTCAACACCTGCAGTATTTATCCATGCTTTGAAGGAAAACAATACACACAGTGAAATATCCAAAAATTTTATGACAGAGATGTTTTGGGTTGAAGCATATAAACATATATTAAATTATCTTGGTTTAGCAGTGAATAAAATAGAGAAAATTCCTATATGTCAAATATTAAACGAGTTATATATTCCCCACCTACAAATAATAGATCCTAGATTTGAATTAACTTTCCGTCTAAGCAAGTTTGGCTACAAAAGTTTGTACAAGATGAATTCCTATATGCTTAGAAAAATTCCAAACGATTTTAGATATAAAAATCTCAAATTACTATTAACATCCATGTTAGATAATTTACAAAGAAATATGCAACTGTCAACAACATTTAATGGTTTGATACCGAATAAAGAGATGAGTGAAGAAAATAATAAGGAAGTCATTCAATTCTATTATCCCGGAGGTAAAAACTTCTTTGGACCCACTTGTATTTTTTTATCGGGAAAAATTTTAGAAATAAGAACAATCGAAAGTAGACAAATCCGAGTTCCCGTGTTGCCAGTAATTTTTAGGGGAAACAAAATTTATTATATGGAATATAATCTTGAATTTGGTGAATTTTCTGATGTATATCTGGAAATGGTTAGAAATGATTTTCTTCGCCAAATTATTATACCTTCTTCCAATAACAATTCACTTGTTATCTCTGTAGAGATAACAAGTGATTATCAAGTTCTCTACAATACAAATGAGTGGAATGAGACGCTGATAAAGAAGATGAAATCTAATCCGACGGAAAATTTTAATTCACCTGCTGATGAAGAAAATGTATCTTTCCTCGATAATTCTGATAAACACAGACAATTTACTGGAAGAGGTGGTTTACCTAGTGACGATATTCCAGGATCCTCGGGAAGATCTGGACAAGTTATTGAAACAGAAGATATTTCAAGTGATTATTTTGATAAACTTATTAAATTTAATGCTCCTGCTCAAAAAGAACATTCATCTTTAGTAGACAATTCCGATACATACAGACAATTTACCGGAAGGGATGGTTTACCTAGTGACGATAATTCAGGATCCTCGGGAAGATCTGGACAAGTTATTGAAACAGAAGATATTTCAAGTGATTATTTTGATAAACTTATTAAATTTAATACTCCTGCTCAAAAAGAACACTCATCTTTAGTAGACAATTCCGATACATACAGACAATTTACCGGAAGAGATGGTTTACCTAGTGACGATATTCCAGGATCCTCGGGAAGATCTGGACAAGTTATTGAAACAGAAGATATTTCAAGTGATTATTTTGATAAACTTATTAAATTTAATCCTCCTGCTCAAAAAGAACATTCATCTTTAGTAGACAATTCCGATACATACAGACAATTTACCGGAAGAGATGGTTTACCTAGTGACGATAATTCAGGATCCTCGGGAAGATCTGGACAAGTTATTGAAACAGAAGATATTTCAAGTGATTATTTTGATAAACTTATTAAATTTAATGCTCCTGCTCAAAAAGAACACTCATCTTTAGTAGACAATTCCGATACATACAGACAATTTACCGGAAGAGATGGTTTACCTAGTGACGATATTCCAGGATCCTCGGGAAGATCTGGACAAGTTATTGAAACAGAAGATATTTCAAGTGATTATTTTGATAAACTTATTAAATTTAATGCTCCTGCTCAAAAAGAACATTCATCTTTAGTAGACAATTCCGATACATACAGACAATTTACCGGAAGAGATGGTTTACCTAGTGACGATAATTCAGGATCCTCGGGAAGATCTGGACAAGTTATTGAAACAGAAGATATTTCAAGTGATTATTTTGATAAACTTATTAAATTTAATGCTCCTGCTCAAAAAGAACACTCATCTTTAGTAGACAATTCCGATACATACAGACAATTTACCGGAAGAGATGGTTTACCTAGTGACGATAATTCAGGATCCTCGGGAAGATCTGGACAAGTTATTGAAACAGAAGATATTTCAAGTGATTATTTTGATAAACTTATTAAATTTAATACTCCTGCTCAAAAAGAACACTCATCTTTAGTAGACAATTCCGATACATACAGACAATTTACCGGAAGAGATGGTTTACCTAGTGACGATATTCCAGGATCCTCGGGAAGATCTGGACAAGTTATTGAAACAGAAGATATTTCAAGTGATTATTTTGATAAACTTATTAAATTTAATGCTCCTGCTCAAAAAGAACACTCATCTTTAGTAGACAATTCCGATACATACAGACAATTTACCGGAAGAGATGGTTTACCTAGTGACGATATTCCAGGATCCTCGGGAAGATCTGGACAAGTTATTGAAACAGAAGATATTTCAAGTGATTATTTTGATAAACTTATTAAATTTAATGCTCCTGCTCAAAAAGAACATTCATCTTTAGTAGACAATTCCGATACATACAGACAATTTACCGGAAGAGATGGTTTACCTAGTGACGATAATTCAGGATCCTCGGGAAGATCTGGACAAGTTATTGAAACAGAAGATATTTCAAGTGATTATTTTGATAAACTTATTAAATTTAATGCTCCTGCTCAAAAAGAACACTCATCTTTAGTAGACAATTCCGATACATACAGACAATTTACCGGAAGAGATGGTTTACCTAGTGACGATAATTCAGGATCCTCGGGAAGATCTGGACAAGTTATTGAAACAGAAGATATTTCAAGTGATTATTTTGATAAACTTATTAAATTTAATACTCCTGCTCAAAAAGAACACTCATCTTTAGTAGACAATTCCGATACATACAGACAATTTACCGGAAGAGATGGTTTACCTAGTGACGATATTCCAGGATCCTCGGGAAGATCTGGACAAGTTATTGAAACAGAAGATATTTCAAGTGATTATTTTGATAAACTTATTAAATTTAATGCTCCTGCTCAAAAAGAACACTCATCTTTAGTAGACAATTCCGATACATACAGACAATTTACCGGAAGAGATGGTTTACCTAGTGACGATATTCCAGGATCCTCGGGAAGATCTGGACAAGTTATTGAAACAGAAGATATTTCAAGTGATTATTTTGATAAACTTATTAAATTTAATGCTCCTGCTCAAAAAGAACATTCATCTTTAGTAGACAATTCCGATACATACAGACAATTTACCGGAAGAGATGGTTTACCTAGTGACGATAATTCAGGATCCTCGGGAAGATCTGGACAAGTTATTGAAACAGAAGATATTTCAAGTGATTATTTTGATAAACTTATTAAATTTAATGCTCCTGCTCAAAAAGAACACTCATCTTTAGTAGACAATTCCGATACATACAGACAATTTACCGGAAGAGATGGTTTACCTAGTGACGATAATTCAGGATCCTCGGGAAGATCTGGACAAGTTATTGAAACAGAAGATATTTCAAGTGATTATTTTGATAAACTTATTAAATTTAATACTCCTGCTCAAAAAGAACACTCATCTTTAGTAGACAATTCCGATACATACAGACAATTTACCGGAAGAGATGGTTTACCTAGTGACGATATTCCAGGATCCTCGGGAAGATCTGGACAAGTTATTGAAACAGAAGATATTTCAAGTGATTATTTTGATAAACTTATTAAATTTAATGCTCCTGCTCAAAAAGAACACTCATCTTTAGTAGACAATTCCGATACATACAGACAATTTACCGGAAGAGATGGTTTACCTAGTGACGATATTCCAGGATCCTCGGGAAGATCTGGACAAGTTATTGAAACAGAAGATATTTCAAGTGATTATTTTGATAAACTTATTAAATTTAATGCTCCTGCTCAAAAAGAACATTCATCTTTAGTAGACAATTCCGATACATACAGACAATTTACCGGAAGAGATGGTTTAGCTAGTGAAGATATTCCTGGATCTTCGGGAGAATCTAAACATGTTATTGTAAGAGAAGATTTCACAAATGATAATGATGATAATGTTAATGATAATGATCAAGGACAACTCAGTTATGACAATTTGTATTATATCAAGAGGTTTGAAGAAGAACATTTCAATGAATTTATGGGATAAATTTTTTTTAAATTGTAGTTCTCATAAATAATTATGATGATGATGATAATTTAGATCAAGTACAACTCAGTTATATAAATTTAATCAAAAAAGTTGAAGAAGAACAATACAATAGACATTTCTTATAAATGTTATTAAAATTGTAGGTCTCACATGCAGAGAAATAATGAGAGTATTTTGAATCATATTAATAAAGATAACTTTTTATTGCATAAAAAATTTTTTGCAATCGTTTTTCCCCATACTTTAACAAAATATATTGAAGCACCTATATAGATATTTTTACATTCTCATCATAATGAGAAAGTATTACATTTGCCCGATTTTGACCAACTTCTAATTCATGTAAATCTTCACGTTTCAAGCCTTTCTGATGCCAAAAAAATAGGTTTTAAAAAAATGTCTGTCTGTCTGTCTATCT